ACACACACACACACGTACACACACACACACACACACACACACACACGAACGTCAACATAAAAAATAAAAATCTGACAAAAGAAGCAAGTGGAGCCAAAAAAAGTTTGGAAACTTTGGAAAGTCCCCAAAAGTTTCCTGTTTTCTCATTGGTCAGCTGTCGGGTTCTTGTGTGCCCATTGGTCGCCTCGGTTGTCCCACCTCTCCCTTCCCGAGGTGTGTGTGTGTGTGTGTGTGTGTGTGTGTGTGTGTGTGTGTGTGTGTGTGTGTGTGTGTGTGTGTGTGTGGGAGTGCGTGTGTTTGTGCCAGATATCAGTGATATTGTTAGGTCCTGTGTTCTTTCTAATGGGAGGGTTAAAATTAATACAGTGTGTGTGTGTGTGTGTGTGTGTGTGTGTGTGTGTGTGTGTGTGTGTGTGCAAGTAGGGTGTTTACCTTGGCAAGCACTCAGGGAGAGAAAGAGAGAGTGACTTAAATTTAGAGTATGTTAGTTTTCACAGTTGTTTTAATAGATAATATCTATGTTTATATTAATAATCTTTAATTTCCACAAACACTACAACGATGCGGACGGTTTACTGTTCACACACTTACTCTAAAGTAAGTCTGAAATAAAAAATATTCATGTTTTTTTGACCCAAAGTCCCCATAGTGTGAAAGTGTAAACACATTTTTGTCCCCCCGACATGATTAATACACACATTCATCTTTCTTAACCATGATGAAGTTCTTTTCCATTAATATAGATTCATTGCTTCATTAATTTCCCTGCTTTGGCAATGTTGACGTTTATGTGAGTAAAACTGATTTGAGTTCAGTCAGACGGAGAATTATGGATTTTAAAAAGTCCCCTCGATTGCCAGCAACAAATACCGAACACCTCATTAAACAAGCTTATGAACTCAGCTAAAGAAAAACAACAACAGCAAGTAAAGAAAAGATGAAGCACTAACACGGTTCAATGCACCGCCTGTCTCTAAATTCAAGTTCTATCTTGTCTTCCAACAACTTAACAGGTCCAGAAAACATTTACTTTATCATTTATTTAGCCAGAAAATAAACAACTCTGAGCATCGCACTGTAGGCCGACACCACATCACCGTTCCTCTACCAGTACAAGTACTAGCTACCTTTACATGGAGCCTAATATTAAGATTATAATCGATTTAATCATCTCGACGTAAATGCGTGGGGACGTACATTTCTCCACTTCAAGGAGAATTTGTTCCTGATACAAATTCTTACAGATCTTAACTTTACTGGACGCCGCGACGGTAGAAAAACACCTGAAATAACGACATATTCAAATAAAGTCCACACATAAGTTAAAGAAGCACACAGTTGTTCCCATTATGTGCGTCAGTGTATGTAAACACCAGATCGTGTTAGATACACAGTTCGAAATGATTTCTATCAGAATGAACTGTGTGATCTGATCGTCATTGTACACAAAGAACAGCTGAGGTACCTGGGAATCCAGGTGGGCCGCCCCATGAACAACTTTCTGAATTATAATATGTACAATACCCAAGTTTCCAACCACACATAGGTCACATTTTAACTGGATTTTCCAAAAAAATGGCAGAATAAAATGCCAATTTGTGCGTGTTTCCATCCATTACTGTTATGTGAATATTGGGAGTCGGTTCATTGAGATAAGCAGTAGGTAACAAAACATATTTTCCCATCATGAAAAACCTTTCAGTGCCGTTCTCTTCTCTTCTTTCAATGACGAAATACGGACCAGTTCTGATATAACAGACGCTAGCACTGTCACTTCTTACACACACACACACACCTAGCATTAGCTCATAGCTGACAGTAAGAGGGATTCTTGAGGGATTTTGTAATCGATAAACCAACACTTTCCCAGCTCAGCCCCAAGTATAATCTTTTTTTGCAATGTTTTGAGGGTTTTTTAAGTTGTTTTTTTACACGCTAATTGACATTTGGCATGAAAACAGGTGGATTTAAACCCACCTATTAATCTCTGCTTTAGCAAGACCGTCCTATCTCAGGTCAATGCAGCAGATTTGAGAGGAAGCTGAGGGGGTTGGGGGAGAGGTAGAGAGACAGAATAGGAAGACAAAGAGATGGCAAGAAATGGCAGAAGAAAGAGCAAACAAAGAAAAACAAAGAGAGAGTGAGTCAGACACAAAGAGAACGAGAGAGAGGAAGAACGAGGGCAGAGGGGAGTGGAAGACAGAGTTTGGAAGGCGGCTGAAGAGGGAGGGAGTCGACTTTGCGGGGGAGTCGGTCAGTTCTCCTCTCCGTAACCCCATCAAAACTTGGCCGCTGTTCAGAAATACACTCACACTCTGTGTGTTTGGGCCCGTATTAATCACCACACGAGGGACTGAAATCTGTTCACATTAAGGGGACTTAAATGCAATTTCTGGACAAAAAGCTCGTCATCAGAAGGTAAAAGATTCATTTTAGGGTTAAGACTTAGGGTTAGACGTGTAGCGGTGCTGGTTAAGGTTAGGATAAGCCTCCGGGGGGGTTAATATAAATCAATGAAGAGTCCTCTTAAGTGACAAAATCAGGTCAGCGTGTGTGAAAGACAGAATATTTATGTCTCTCTGCAGCTCGTTCTGAGGATGCTCTCATGGTTTCAACGTTGACCTTCACATATTCTCTGTGCTCTTTATCACACAAACACACACACAGCTAACAGACTCCGTTACCCCCAGCAGGCCCTGCGAGGCGTAGCGGTGGAGCGCAGTGAAACCTAAGCGCAGAGCGTCTCCCGGGGGACGGCGGGGCGTAGGAGCCAGATTGAGGCCAGATGTTGCAGATGCAGGAACGAAGCACACTGGACCAGGATCCATTTATAGGCTCAGCCCGTCTCGAAGCACATAAATACACTGATAACGACGAGAGTCATGACTGCTCACTGTGCAAACCTTCTAATTCAAGTCTTTTTCTTTCTGTCTGATTGTACCATCCAACCATGTTCTCTAAAATGCTTCTGTGGTCAGTCTAAAAATAAGGTTTCTTTTCCAGAGTTGTTCAAAGTTGTTTGGGGTTTTCACTGTAAAGCACCATCGAATGGAGTGTTTAGGGGTTCAAAAAGGGTTTTAAAAAATGTAAAAATGTCTAAATAACGGGATATTTGTGGCGTTATAGTGATGTGCAAGATGGGAAAATAAGTTTTTGGAACATTTTTAGTGTTAAAACTGAACATTTTAAATATCTATGATGTAACATTTATGAGGATCTACTGGTATAATATTCAGAGGATTTTTTAAATTAATGTATAATCACCTGAAAATAAGAATCATTGTGTTTTTGTTATCTTAAAATTTGCCCTTTTTGTCCACAGAGGGAGCAGGTCCTCTTTCTACATTAGCCCAGAACGGACAAACTAAACACTGACTCCATATAGGATCTTTAGTTTGTCCTACACACTGGGAAAGCGAGTGGTATTCAAAATGTTTGCAATCTGCAACTTCACTGCTAGATGCCACTAAAACTGGTCCTTTAATTGTATGGATGATTAACTTTAAAGATTTTTATGCTTTTTATTTTACTTGAAGGAGTTGTGATACTTTATTTTGTGTTACTGTTAGTGTACATAAGATATTTACAACTTTGGCAATTTAAACGGGTCTCAAATGTTCTGCTTTCTATCGCTGACTGATACAAGACCACAGAGAGCCAGAAAGCAGAATTTACTGTTCCAAACATTAAAGTGTGAGAAAGGTTTTTCCCTGGGAAAACCCCCGTGGCACAAAGAGAGAAATGATCCTGTTTTAATTTCTAGTTTGTAATAAACAGCAAAAGAAGGACTAGTCAGCAACAACGAACAACAGAACTGAAGAAGCTGAATCTGATGAGCACTCTAACTAGCAAATTGAACTGTACTTTCATTCATTGATGCTAAAATAAATGTACTTGCACCATGATATTCCTCTGTGGATCACTTTCTGACACTACAGCGACTAAAATGAAGAACTTTCTCAAATAAAAACATCACTTTTGACCTCTTTATGTGGGTAATTCTGAGTGGGCATAAATCTTCTGTCATTAATCCTATCTCACAATATCAGAATATACAGTATCAAGACATTGCAGTCAGCTTCAGTGTAATGTAACATTGTCTACAAGACCTAACACACCCAGAGACATTAGACCAAGAGGAGTCAAACAGAGGCTGCAGGTCAACAAGTTATTGTCCGCCTTTTATTTTTGGATGGTTATAGTTCAACAATAAAGGTAAACTAGGTTACAACTGTTTTGTCTTTCATACTGACCTCAAAATTCTTTCACAATGTACTTTATCCTCTAACTGGGTGGACACAATGCTGACTGAACAAGAACATCATGTTTTTGTTACGCAGCCCGATAAAGAAACCCATCAGCTTCCAAGAATCTCCCATCATTCAGTGTCCGTTAATGAGACAGTGACTGAACAAACTGAAAAACAGTAAAGTTTGTGTCCTTAAAAACCCTTTTTTTCCTGACATACTTCACGTCAGAAAGAAACATGATGGATGTACAGTCGGATGGTGATGAAACCTTTTATTCAAAGAACCTGACGTCTTGGTTGCAGTTGCAAATAAAGTCATGTCTGCCAAAGAATCTGAAGAAAAGCTTAATGTATGGTTTATTATTTATGGTTATATTAACTAAATCAGTGTGCTGCCACTCAGTGATGCACAATATATGAATTTATGTCCTAGATTTAATGTAAGTGATTAAAAAACCTGTATTAAAAGTCATGTACGTGCCAAAATCCAGCTGCTGTGCCACTGTGAGCATGTTTTAAAACATTATCTGTGATCATATTCTGAAGTAAACTGTGTTTTTCTCACAGTGAAGCTCAAGCACACAGATCTGCAGCAGTGATATGAGCGTTCACAATAAACTCTAAAGGCTATCTGTGTTTTTCCAGCGCACAAATGAAACAATAATCGCTGCAGGAGAAATTCATAGAGGGAAAAATCTCTTGTTCTCCAGGCCGGCCCCGCCTCCTCCTCCTCCTCCTCCTCCTCCTCCTGCTGCTTGCAGGAGACGGGCAGGGTAGAAGTCAAGGAGTCAGCTCTCTGCCATTGTTCTTGTTCTGGAAGTCTGGGAACGGGACGGGACGACGCTGGACGGGTACCGGACGGCGGGTCTGTCGTTATGACGGGCTCCGGTCCGAAGCTCGGGGTCCTGCTGCTGCTGGCGGTTCTGCTGCAGACTGTGGTCGTCACCATCACGGTGCTGCACTTCACCACTGCTCTAAATTCGGTAAGGAAAAAGTAAAAAACTGAACGGACTGAACCGGAGACGCGCGGAGGCTTTTACGCACCGCCATGCAGCGCGCAGCGCGCACCGCGCCAAGTTGTTCGGCTTTTGAACGCAGCTAAAATAAAACCGCACTTTTTGTTGACCTTGAACACTTGACTGTAATTTCTTGAAGCTTTAGTGAGTCACTTTGTTGCTGACAGTTTTTAAGGGAGACGCTTTGAACTCGTTTTTATGCGCTCTGGTTCTGTTGCTGCGCTCCAGAGCACAAATAGTCCAGGACACGTCTAATTTCCTTTTCTCTTTCTGCACAATGCAAACGCAGGCCACACACTGTATGTTGCTTTCACAGTAAAACTGTTCAGGTTCTGCACAGTGTGGCTTCATGCAATCACACACACACTATGCTGTTTGTTCCCTGCACACAGAGGACGAGGAAGCAACGAGCTCAGGCAGATGCAGCATTTTTTTTATGATTAACTGAGATTATCAGGAAGAGTTTTTACAGGGCTGCATCTGTGTGTGTGTGTGTGTGTGTGTGTGTGTTGGGGGGTGGAGGACTGCTTGTTTTGGTGAAGCCAGAGTCCTTTGGTTACCTGGATTCAGTCCAGTACAACTCTCAGTCTGTGTTTACAGGAGCTAATCATTAACCCAGATGAGATATAGCAGCAGTATGGAGAAATGAAACCCAAACAGATGAAAACAAAGACGAAGGAAAACATGCCAAGAAATTATGTTGACTCAGGAGAAACTTTATGACGGTGATTGCAAGAGTGTAAAAGGTGGTTTAAGCCTTTTTTTTTATCCCAATAAAGCACATAATCATCTAATTACACTGCAAATGTTTGTCCTGAAGCCTGAAAATATGGTAAAATCCAGATAAAGTTTCAGTTTTGACCGACAGACAAAAGGAATAACCTTCCTCGGGCGTGTTTTGACGAGGACTTTAAAGATAACCGTTTGATTGCTCTGTGTGACATTCCCACTCTGCACAGATGAAGGAGACGTTTGCCAGGAGCAGCGTTTCCTGCCTGACGGGAGCTGACCTGCAGAGCATCACGGCGGTTCGGGGGGATCCGTGCTGGCAGGTGACTCAGCAGCTTCATCTGCTCATCGAGAAGGTATGGTGACACAGCAGTAACGCCCCAAAACACCGACCTCTGCACACTCCACACCTGACTGAGCTGTAACGAGTAATGAGTTCACCGCCCCTACGTATCAGCATTTGTTGATCAGTATTAATGACTCAGTGATTATTTGGCCAGCTGCTGAGACGTCTGGCTTTTCAGAGCTCGATTTTTTTCTTCTCAGGCCTGCTCTGGATCAAAAAGTCCCCACCCACTGGAGTTTGGAGACATTATGAACCCCCCCACACTTCAGCTGAAAAAGCCAACAAGGCAAATGATAAAGCAGCTTTATTACTATTATTATTATTCCAGGGTCTCTTGTGTTATCAAACGTTTTACAAGTGGGCGTTTTCTTGTGCTGACGAGGACTTTTCAGTGCAGATTTCATCACAGAAACTAAAAGAGGAGACATTGTTCCACGACACTTTGTCTGTTTTAGAGACCTTTCAGGGTTTGAAAGGACTTCTGTTCTGCCAGTGTGACAAATATTCAGTCACACTGGCAGTAAAGTCAAAGTTTTAACCCATTTAGAGCTGACGATTAGTTGACTTATCCATTAGTCCACCACATACCACCTCAGATTAATTACTAGGCTCTCCAAGTACCATCATTATTAACATATATGTTCGGTGGAAGAGAGGTCCTACTGGTCCATACTTCTCTTCCTAATAGTTCCCATTTGGATTCATGATTACTCTGCTTTTAAACCATTAGTTTGTAACTAATCATGGATGTATATATATATATATATATATATATAGAAACTAAATATTACAGGAAATGCAGAATTACATTTCAATGCTCTCATAGTTTAAGCATTTTCATTCAAAATGTTGTAGTATGTAATGAATTTATTTCACTTAAATAGACATATTTCAGAGCTTCCTCCGTGTACCACTAGAGGCAACTCCACCCTGGTTTGATCCCCAGTGGATTATTCGATCAGCAGATGATTAATCCCCAAACTATTGTGATAATCGATCGGTCGTTTCAGTCGTTTTTCAAGGAAAAGTTCTCTGCTTCGAGCTACTGAGAGCCCTGAATAATGTTCTTTGTCTTACAGCTATGATAGTCGACTGTGTCGGGTGGTTAGTCGGATAAAAGAAGCTTTATAAATCTTATTTTCTGTCATTTTAGGTTCTTCTTTGTGCATAATGATATTTTCTTGCATCATAGCAGCATGAGCAAGAAGTTGCAGTTTATTATTTCTAATTTAAAATGTGAATTTCTGCAAACGCTACTTTGGTTTTGGTCTCTTCGTGAGATTTGCTGACAGGAAACTAAACTAAAAGAAGAAAGCAACAACAAAGTGACATTAGGTCATTCGTAAGTACAGTTTAATGAAGTTATTATTATTATTAATATCATTATCAGGGGTTTCCCGTGCTGCTGATCTGAGCTCTGAACATTAGCAAGAGAAGAAAGGAAAAAAATGCTGAAATGATCCAAATCACTGTCTGCAGACGCACAATGAGCTCCTTCATAGCGGGAGATGTGATGTGATCCTGTGTGGTTTAATCAGCACAGGAATGCCTTCACCTGCCTGCCTCTCTCTCTCCCTCTCTCTCTCACACACACACACACACACACACACACACACACACACACATTATTATTGTTCCATCCCTTAACTTTCTATTTGTGTGTATTGTTTGTTTTTAGTTCCCTTCTCTCTCCGATTCTCCTCCTCTGACTTTGCTGCTCTCATTAATAACACAAGCCGGGTATTTTCTGACTCTGATTAAATTTAGTTCATATAATATAAACATAATACTGGGACAGCTTGAGCCAGAACATCAGTTTGTGCTTTGAACTCAGGACGCAGGGTCACATTTAAAGGTCCAGTGTGTGACATTGAGGAGGATCTAATGGCAGGAACGGGATATAATATTGATAGGTATATTCTCATTAGTGTACAGAATATAGGAATAATTGTGTTTTTGTTACCTTAGAATGAGCTGTTTTTATCTACAGAGGGAGTAAGTCCTCCATGTTGAACCACTAGTTTCTACAGTAGCCCAGAACGGACAAACCAAACACTCGCTCTGTAGTTTCTCCTGCACGTTTAGAACAAGCTACAGAAAGTCTTCCTTTGCAGTCCCCCTCTAAACGAGTCGAATTCTGGTTCCCGCTGACTGAATGCCGGAGAATTGGTCTCTCGTTTGGAGTGATTTTCTTTCACCTTCACTCTCAGTTGTTACTGAAGCTGTAAAAACATTTTTAAGGTGGGAATAATTAACCTCTGCAACCTCTACTGGCAACAGTAAGAAATGCAGCACTCCTTCTAAACAAGTTATTTATTATAATGAATATACAATATTATGGAAAACATCGCTAATACTTTTCAGAACACCTCTCTCTCTCTCTCTTTTTCACCATGTTGTTCCAATTTCAGTTTTTTACGTTTCTGGAAACAAACTAAAGGGAAATAAACACGTCCAGAGTCCACTACAGCTTAGAAAATCGTTTTCATCAGTTTGGCAGAAGTCGCGTCTTTTTGAGCCAATTCATTGTGTAAAAGAACGTAAAACACGAGGAAAGGGGGGGAAGAGGGGTCGATTACCAGAGAAGGATCTGTTACCAACCTGAACATGAAGGCTCCTTTTTATTCAGCGGAGCAAACTTCTTGATCCTGGTGTCAGCACAATTTCAGGGGTTAAAGTCGAACAAAAGGCTGCTGGGTTGACCCGAGGAATCAGCGGGTGGCAGATAAAGTGTTATATATGTTTACTGCATTCAGAAGTTAGTGCTTAGTTTCATCTTTTGGGGTTTTTTTTGTTATTGTTTCGAGGCTCAAGGCTTTAATGCGTCTTTATCAAGGTATCATGGGGCTGCTGTCATTGGTAATGCATTAAAAAAACATTCATGCATTCTTTAATAATTGATTTCCGCTATTTATCCTGCAGTCTCTCTCTCAGCGCTACCAGAGGCAGATTTCATCGGCAGTCAGAGGTAAGAATACCGCACATTACACTGACCCACGACCTCCTGTATGTTTTTAGATGACCTGCAGGAGTACGACGAGGTTGCGGCATCTTATCGGTGCAAAAAAAAAGTTAAATAAACTATTTTACTTGCCACTAGATGTCGCACTAGAGCACCAAAGGCCTAAATAACTGGCGCTACGGCTGACCAGACTCCACTGATTTTTTTGTTATTATATGTGTCTGAGAACATTATTCCTACAGAGTTAGACCTTTTTGTTTAACCAGAAACGGCTGTAATATCGCTCTCTGTCTTTACATAGCAAGTAAGTGTTTGCTGTTATATTAATGTTCTAAATCTCATATATATATAAAGGTCAAATTTCCTTCAAAAACTTCAGAAACTTGTTAACGTATGTGTGTGTGTTCTCTCTCCCTTTCCCCCTGTGTTAGATGAAGTATCTCGGGTGCTGCCCTCACTGGTGATGGTAGACAGGGCTTCACCTCGCCCCAAAGTGGCAGCCCATGTCACCGGCAGCTTCGTGCCCAAACTGGAACGAGAGGGGGGAGGTGAGTCCTGCAGAACCCAGGCTGCAGTTGATCCTTATTGATCGATTATCAGGAGCTTTTCTGATTGTGGTCTCGTTTGTTTGTTCTCCACAGCTCCGGTCGCTGCGGGCCGCCGGGTTCACGGACAGAAGATCTCGTGGTGGGAGGGGCAGAAGGGGCTGGCCTTCCTCCAGGACGTCCAGCTGGTGGACGGGGAGCTGGTGGTGCCGCAGCCCGGCCTCTACTACGTCTACGCCCAGACCTACTTCAGACACACCCACTCCCTGGAGGAGGAGGGCGAGGACGGCGAGGAGGCGGAGGACAGAGGGAGACCCCTGCTGCAGTACGTCTATAAAAAGGTGAGGGGGTCGCCATCATGTTGTCGTTAGCTGAGGCTGGAGCTCATTTTCAGCTGTTTGGTATTGGAAGTATCTCCCAAACTTCTGTCCTGACAAAGGCGTGAAGAGGTTTTTTGTTTCAGGTCAGAACAACAGCTTTGATTATTTTCATTATGGAGGAATCTGCTAATTATTTCTTCCATTAATCGATTGATTGTTTGGTTTTAGTGAGAAATGTCGTCACAATCAATGCTTGTTTTATCCAACCAACCAGTCCAAACCTGGATTTAATGATTCAAAATTGAAAGAATTAAAAGAAAATGATTCACATTTGAGAGAATGAAACAATGATTAAAATGAGTTATTAGTTTTCTGACAGTTGACTAATTGATTAATTGACAAATTGTTTCAGCTGTACTTGTATAAACTGTTGGTTAGTTTGATTTATAACAAACATATATTATAAGCTCTTCATGTGTCAGATTAATGAAGGCACTTTCTCTCTGCATTAATGAGAGCGTAGTTAAATGTTAAAAACAACTTTATTTGATTTTCTACGTCTGATTTTAACATCCAGGTGCTTATTTTGCAACTTCCATCATCACACATATATATATTTTTTGGCATTTGCCAGCACTGAACCAGGGACGTTGTGCATCTTAACCGCTTGGACACAAGGACTCGTGTGCAAATGTGATATAAATCTCATAGTTTTTGTTGCCCTGAAGCATTCGCAGACGGATGAATCAGAGCAGACGACTGACTTCGGCTGGTGAACTCACTTCTCTGAGTCTGACTAATCACATCTTATGACTAATGTGTGTGTTGCATCACAACACGGCACACATCCAATAACAATAACGCTTTCTGCTTTGTCAGATAAAACTAAGATTCAGCTGTTTTGAATCTTCGGCTAACCTTTTATCTTTCTTAATAAAGTAATTAAAACTCTTATCCAGGAAAACAACATGAAAAATGTGTTATTAACGTGAGTTATATGAGATAAACATCGGTTTGACTGAAAGGCGAAGTTCAAACATCAATCTGGCTCATCGTAAAGATCAATACTGAAGGATTCTTCATTATTTAAAGGTTAATTCAGACATTTTTTGACCATAAAATGATGTGATTTTGATCCAAGATGTTTTGTTGGGTTTGTGTATTAAAGGATCCTGCGCTTTAAATATTTTCTTTACATTTGGATCACAGATGTGTGTCTAAACTAAAATGTTATTGTATATTTATATTGGGCCACAAGAGCAGTGCGAAGAATGTTCCTGTTACTCAAAAACCATCTCGCCAGACTTCAAGAGACTATGTGTCCGAACAGAGTGGTTTTAAACCAATCAGCGACCTTCGAGGAACCACTACGAACCATCTTGTGCAGCCATGTTTAGATTTTGCTGTAGTTTTTAACATAAATGATGCCAACTAGCTCATAAACCAGCTGATCACTGACAGATGTTAGCTGGTGTCAGTACGACCTGAACGCGACCTTCATCCGACCCGCCGTCCTCTATCCCATCTCACTCACCTCTGCCTCTCCCTCGCCAGGTGAGCTCCTACCCGGTTCCCATCCTGCTGATGAAGACGAGCCGAACCTCCTGCTGGTCCCGGGGCTCCCAGTTCTCCCTGCACTCCGCCCACCAGGGGGGGCTGTTCCCGCTCGGCAGCGGCGACCGCCTGTTTGTCACCGTGACCAACGCCTCTGCTGTGGACATGGACGAGAAAAGCAGCTTCTTTGGGGCGTTCCTCATCAGCTAGACTCGGGATCGCAGGTTGATCTGGGGGGGGGAACCAACCAGACGCCATCACGTTGTTTTTAATGTTTGTGATGAATCAGTCTGAGGAAAACATCAAACTGTTGCAGCCGCGAGAGACTTAATGAACTCAGAGACTCAAAAACTGCAGCAGCAACTGGTCGGGACAATCTGTCTCTTTTTTTAAAGATCACAAACTAAAAAGAAGAATGTGACAACACTGGTTTCATGATTGATTGACTGATTTGATCTGTGTGTGTGTGTGAGAGAGAGAGCCAGTCAAACTCTGTGACTCTACAGACATTACAATATGTACAAACGTGTCTTTAAGGCAGAATCACAGAGTATTTAGCTTTTTAAAAGTAAATTAAAGTGTTGAGCAACAGATTTTCTAAACTAACCCTTTTTAAGTCCCGCCCCGTTTTTTGCTCTGTCCTCCAATCGCTAAGATTTTTTGTCTTTTTTACTATAAATCCTTGAAACTGTTGTGCGCACAAAAACAACAAGCGAAATCAGACAAAATGACATTGTTGGTTTCTCAAAAATCCTACTTTTTTAGGGGGATTGTCCTCTTTACCTACAATGCGTAATAAACTGGTAGCTCACGACTAATCTGGTGATAATCTGCCATTTGAAAGGTATTTTCAAACTTCTTCTAAATCTCACCTTTAACAGCCACAAGGGGGCACTGTTTTTGACATTGCAAGCTTAGATATACGTGTGCCGACCCGGTGCCACCTGTAGGAAAGAAAAGGTTGTAGCAGTTTAGACCTTTTTCTATAGCTAATGCTGGAGGATTCGTTCTTTACTGAGAAAAAACTGTCTCTGAGAATTGTTTGTACTCGTGATAATCCAGCCACATAAATGTTAGGTGGATGTTTGTGTAAAGATGTAAATATTGTGTTATATTTTGTGTTTTTATTTTTCCAATAAGCCTGTAAATTCCGAATCTGGGAGCTCTCCATGAATCTGCTCTTCATTTCCCCCCCTTCAGTGAGCTGTCGAACATGCACAAACCCAGACAGTCGGGGGAGCGGTTGCCCCGAGGTGTAACATCACCACCTCTTCCTCCATGAGTTTTACAGTAAATTTAAAAAACACTGCTCCTCACTGGGCTGTGTTTTTGTTGGCAGTCTCTCTCTCTCTCTCTCTCTCTCTCTCTCTTTCTTTCTGCTGTCAGTCTTCCAGCATGTTGGCCCGTCCCTCGCAACCGTTCTCCAAATGGTGCATTAAATGCTCCCCGACGGTTGGCGTTCTTGGGCATTCATGTCACGTTGGATTAACTGCAGATGTGACATGCAGACTTTGGAGGAGGATCATTCGTGTGGGGATTATTTTTCTGTAGCTCGTCTGCCTTCCATGTGATTGTGGCCAACACTGCAACAAAATCCACTAATGTTCAAGGACGCATAAACCAAAAATGACCGGTTACATTTGACCGAAAGAGAGTGGGATGAATCAGTGATCCTGGAGATTTAGATAATTGTTGTATGATAAAAGAAATCTTAACTCAAGGTCTACTGTCTAGGTTTCTCCTGGGAGAGTTACAGTATAAGATGTCATATACAACAGTTTCACACAGTTCTTTATACATTAAATTCAAGGGCTTTTTAAAGGAGTTTCCAGGCCCAGTTCCCCTCAAATTCAAGGACCCAACAGCGCACAGTTTGAGACACGGATCCAGGTTAATTACTGAGAGAAACTAATCATTTAAAATGAGAACAAGCAGGCTTTCACAGGCTGCTTTTTTGGAACGGTTGCAGCCTAAAATGTCCGATTTCACTGCAGTTTCTCAAGAAAATTGTGTGAGAAAGTGAAAATTGCACAAAGTTTCGCAATATTTTTTAATAATTAGTTACAAATTGTCTGCAACTTGTTCCAGAAAGAATAAAATCAATAGTCATTTGGTGAATTGGGCTCAACAGTGGCTGGGAACTACAATGATTCATCAAATTTAAGTTGGTTTTCCCTTCAAATTCACAAACTTTAAAGGATCTCAAGGGTCTGCGGACACAATGATGAAGAAGGCCATGAGTTGAAAGCTCCAGCACAAACCTAAAAGGGTCAAAGTCGAGTTAAATTCACTGAATCTTCCAATATCAGCATCCAAACATCGTATTTTCCAACATGACATGAATGCAGCGTTCACTGTAGCACTAATGTAAATATCACTTTTATTTTTTCTCTTTAATTTCTGTTTTTGCCACTAAAGTATATTTTCTTTAAATGATTTTGTTTTTGTTAGTGTTGGTAATCCACAAAGATAACAGTGGGAAGTGTACAAAACATGATGTCTCCAATGGATCGTGGAGGTTTAACAGTAACCTGGGAGACGGATGTAAACGCAGCCAGTATGTTCAACCTCCACCTGGAGTCCAGTCTTCTGCTGGACCTCAAACACCTGACAGGCATCAAACAGTGAACACCTGTACAACAAATCAGCCGGTAGACGATCAAACACGAGATAGACCAAAACTAAATGTGAATGTAAATAATGAGGAGTTTTTTTTGTCTGTAAATATGTGAAATAAAAGACACTGTAAGAGGAACTTGTGATGTATTTGATGGTGTTTCAGTACATGTTTTATGTGAGGTTGTTTCTGGATCAGCCAGTTTACCATCAATCGGAAACACACAAAACGTTAACAGCATCTTTTTAAATCTGCTTTTACAAATATAGATAAAGTTGGATGTATTATTGAATGTTTGGTGTTCACTGTATGATGATTTATAGTCATCTAGCACTCAGTATTTTGTGAAAGCTATTTTAAAAAGATGATGTTTGGTTAAAGTTTTGCACATTCAGTGAGTGATCACTGATAAAGGCAATAAAAAACATTTGGGGAATTGAAACTAAGACTAAAGGAGAGATTAAAGCAGCTTATTCAAACACAAAATGATGTCTTTATCTGATTCGGATCATTTCATTCTGGGTCTGCAAAAGCTTTGACTTTAAATTAAATCACAATTTTAGTTTGTGCAAGTCACTAAAACGGCCGATAAAGCAGACGCTGTTGGACATTAACAGGGGTGTTCTGCCCCCTGCTGGTGCTCATTAAACACTGCAAGAGGGGACACAAATAATAATCACACAACACTTTTAGTAAGTTTTTGATTTTCTTTCTTTTTTGTGGAAATATGTTACAGTTATATTACAGGTATTTAAATGCCCAGAGGGAGAACAACAAACAAAAAAACCTGTTTGGAGACACCAGAATCTAACACTAAGAAGGAGACAGCAACTTAACCGAGACAGAAAAAAGTCCAGACTTGATCAACAGACAGAGAGAGAGAGAGAGAGAGAGGGCAGAACTGACGCCCAACACGTGATGTTAGGAGACGTCCAATAAATACTGCAAAATGATGTTAACGCAACTTATTAAAAAAACAAAACGAGAAAACAAAAAAAAAAAAGGAAAACAGGTGTGCTCTCCTTCTCGAGTCCTTTGTGGTATTTTAGCAGCATGTGTGTAAGCTTCCAGAAACCAAAAAACAACTCGTGAACAACAACGTGCACAGCCTGCAATCAACCAGAGTCTTTAAAACACAAGTAACAGAAGAACATATGGTGGTTTTTAAAGCTGCGCGTGACCAGTGAGAGAAAGTGGGAAAAGTGCTTTTTAATAGAAGAACACACAAATGATTTAAACAGGTTACCTCAACCTCGACGTATCCAAAACAGCAAAAACCAGGGATGGAAGATTTATCTTCCACCAGCCACAACGGTTGGTTGGTTGGTTGACTCTAAAACTCACCATTTAACCAGTTTTATGTATTTATTTTAGTACACATTAACATCTTAAGAATACTGTTTGGGTGCCCGACGGTGGCTCACAGAGGATAAACATTCAACAGACAAAAAAATTAAAATGCACATTTGGCTGGTGGTGTTTTAGATTCACATCCCGGGTTGTTGTTGTTGTTGTTGTTGCAGTGAAAGATATCAAACATTGGATTATTAGAAATGTTTTGAACCTATAGCAGTTTATGTTCAGTTGTTTTGTCTTTCAGGGGTCTTTGATAGTCACCTACTCTTTATTCTTTTAGTTCTAGTGGTGTAAGCAGAGCTTTACAAAATACAATCGAAGCTTTTTACCTGTGTGAAAATATTCTGGTTGAATGCAGGTCTGCCCCCCTGCGCCGGCTTCCATTGGTTCTTTTTCATGTAACTTATAAAATATATCATAAAATGTCTTCTTAAATGGAAACTGATACGTCCATGTACAAAAAGTTCTTTCTTTTTATATAAATTACACCAGTCTCTGATGATGACGACGACGATGATGATGATGATGATGATGATGTCTCCGTTCCTGCTAATAAAGGTTCATCTCCAAACCAAACCTTTCCCCTCATACATACACACTCACATGCACGCACACACACATACACACACACACAGAGAGCGTGTGACCGCGGTCGACGCCCCCCCCTCGACGTAGCTACACGACATGCTCTACACATTACCCATAGTAGAGAAGAAGAAAACAACAAACAGAAACTCTATCCCCACTGAAATGAACTCTCCGCACATACAGTAACGCTACATCTTCCTCTTCCTTCCTTCCTTCCTTCTCTTCCTCACTGCATCTGTATGCGAGACCACAAGCATGGTGCAGTTTCGGGCGATGGACGGAGGGCGACTCCTCAGCTTCAGCTGGTGACCCCTCACTATCGCCTGTCACTGTAGCTGCCTTTGTTCTGGCTCCGCCACCGCCGCTCCCTGGCACGCCCAGATGGATAACGCCCAGCTGGCGGTGCGGGGAATGTGCGTTAACGACTGACCGGAGGAGGAGGCGGGTACCTCAGCAGTCAAACCGCATCTCCAGTGAATCGTCAAAGCCCCTGTTGTCGTGTCCCGCCCCCGACAAGAAGGTGGCCGTGACGGGGGCCCCTGTGGCCGTGGTGACGTTGAGGAGGGTGTTGCCGGGGGAGCTGGTGGCCGGGCTACGGAGGGCCGCCGCGGTGATACTGGTGAGGTTGATGCCCAGCGTGAGACGAGTCTGTTCCAGAGCTTTCTCCGGCACGGCGAAGGCCTCCAGCTTCTTCTCCCCGTTGGCCATGTAGGAGTTCTGGCAGCCGCGGCAGATACAGTCCAGACACGCCTAAAGACAAACAATCATAATCAATAACAACATGATCCAATAAATAATGTCAACAGATCACCCAGAGTGCCCCCTAACACAAAGGTTAAACAGATTGTTTCATAGGTCAGCAATGAACCGTCGACCTCTACAGGACCAATAAAACTGAAAAATTATTTATCTTTAATAAATCAGTAAAAAAAAAACTGACTTCCACTTTTATGAATATTTAAAACATCTAAAAACCTCAGTTATTAAATATTACATTAGCTTTATTTATGGTGTCACTTTTCAGTCCCTCCAGGAAGTTCTGATGGTTGGATTAATTAACATTGCATGTTTGTCCGAGCACCAAAACGTTTCCGTTCATTTGACCTCTCGCACGCACAAAACAGTGAGCCACATCCTACCAAACTACCAAACTCAGTTTATTTCTGGTACGGTTACTTTGAGCAGTGTCACTGGAACAAACTGCCGTAGATTTTTTTTATGAATTATAGAAAACAAAACTAAAAAATTGCAGCCAATTTGGCAATGTTCCGCTTTCTCCTGTAATCTAATTACATGAAACATCACAACAAGCGTCACTAATTTATTCAGGAAAGCTGTAGAGGTCTTTCTTTCCTAACAGCCGAAGCTCTTTATGACAACAATATTTCAACTCCATGCAGGACTCCCAAAGAACCAAATGAGTCATAAAACTACAGTGCAAAGCAATCAGGTGAATGTAACGAGCCCCCAGGTGGAAATCCACTTTGTTAGATATGAGTTATTTAGGTTGATATATTTCCAAACATTAGCAGTTCTGGTGGTGACAGCAGCAACACTGAGTGACACAGCAGACTGTGGAGTGGGGGGGGGGTCAGCGTTGTTCTCACCTTGCGGTTGGAGTAGCAGGGGCAGCGCTGCCCCCTACAGGTCAACACCGAGGGGTTCTGGGTGGCTCGGCCGCACTTGCAGCCCTTCTTCTCCACGGGCTTCTTATACAGTGGCTTCGAGGGGCTGGGCGGGTGTGTCAGAGGGTGCGCGTGGGGGTGTGGGGGTACTCTGTCACGGGGTTGTGCGCGGGGCTTGGGGACCCCTTGCCTGGCCTTGGTGTAAGCCTTCTTGGGGCCCCCGTGGTGCTCCACAGTCTTTTTGAGCGCCTTGTTGGAGACGAGCACAGTCTTGCCCACCTTTGGGGGACCACCGTTAGGCACCGGAGCCAGGTGTGGGTGGGGCATGGCTGGGGGGAACTTAGGCTCCTGTTTCGTGGTGGCACCAGGGTTAGGGTGGTGGGGGGAGCTGTTGGCACCGAGGGGAGGCCCTCGTAAGAGGCTGGAGATGGGGAGGGGCTGCACCTTCTCACTGTCGCTTTCTGAGCGGGAGCGCTTGCGGTGGTACCGCGGGGGAACATGGGGGACGACTGTGGAGGGCTGAGGAAGAGGCTGCAGTGAGGGCTGTGTGTGAGGGTGAAGGGGGCGAGGGCTGTTCTCTGGGGGGAGGGAGGGGATGAGGCGGGAGGAGTCGGGTCCAGATGGGCAGTGAGGCCCATTGAGGCTAGACTGATGCACAGAGTCCGGCTGAGGGTTCTGCTCAGGGTCAGTGTCCGTGTCCAGAGTCCTGAGCACCTCCTCAACACTCAACAACAGCGGCCCCCCGCCATGTTTCAGGTCATCCCCAAAAGAGCTGATGTCACAAAGCCCCGCCTCCCCGGCCCCTGTGACACTCACACACACGGGGATCTCCTCTGAAAAGCTCTCCTGCTTTGCAACGCCTTCACCTGTTTCTATGGTGACGGGTTGCAGAGCGTCCGAACTGACCAGGCCGTTACAATCGTGGAGCCCGTTTACGCTGATGGGGCCCGGCTCCTCCGCCTTGAGCTCCTTCGTAGGCGGAGCCTCGTCGGGCTGAGCCGGCTCGGAGGTGGAGGCCGTCTGCGACAAGCCGGCCGAGTCTGAAACGTCCTCTGCCTCCGGCTCGCTCTCGGCCAACGTGAGGCCCTCGTTGAGGATGGCCTGGAGGTCCGGCGAGTCGCTGGCGGCGCTCGCTATGTGCGGGGCGAGCGGCGACTGGGTGATGTACAGACAGAGCTTCCTGTAACAGTGGACGAGCAAGGAGAGCTGTCTGTTTTCCTCGAAGCGGGAATAGTCCTTACACCAACTACAGGACGGCTTCAGCTGCATCCTCTGACCTTTACAACCTCGACAGACGTAATGCTGACATGACGAGTCGGTGGGGGCGATGGGGTCCTGCAGCAGGTTGCCTGAAGACGAGAGGAGAAAGAACAAATATAGAAAAAACAAATACGCCACATGAGAATCCAAGCAAACCCATGATCTCATAAATTGTGGCCCTAGTTTTAAACAATTAGTCAGTGTTAAGTGTGGTAAGAATATTGGGATTTACAAACGATTGCTTCCTCATTTTGCTGGCTTTCCGATAGCTCAACTGATATGTATTTGTAAACCTGAGTGGTGCCTGGCAACTTGCCAGACTGGATGACAACCGCTCTTTGAGAGGGGCTTCCTTAGCAACGCTGGTCGCTAGGGAGTGCAGCTGCAGATAGGGAAAAAGGATGAAGGTGCATTCATGAGAAACAACCAACCTTACACACTCTGCACTGCCTGTCTGATAAACCCCACGTAAACTGCAGGATGTCTATATTTAACGCGACGTATGGATCGATCCGTTATTTATACAGTGGAGGTGGAGGAGCAATCAATATCCGAGTGTAATGAAGCTACTCTTCTTCTCTCCTCGCGAATCACAGCAACACAAATATCTCTTTCACCCCCAAGAGAGGGTATCCCCCCCCTCCCTTTCACAGGGAACAGTGCATCCACTCAGTGTGTCAGCCGGAGAGTTAATGCATTATGTATGAGCAGTGAGCATTAAATATACCATAAAGATAAAACAGACATTTATTTACAACCTAACCACAAAAACACTCCCTTGTACGTTTACAGCCGATGATATATATATATAAAGTTGTGTGTAAACACTGCGAAGCACTCCCTCCTTTTTTTATTTTAATCCATATATTTCACTGTGTTGTGTATTATGGGATGCGGAGGGAGAGAGAGAGAGAGAGAGATTATGTGCATAATATCCAGTATGTGGAAGGGCTGTTATTCAACAGAGAAACGCCCCGATGCTGCCAAACAGCACACAGAGGGGGGTGTGTCATGATGGGTGTAGCTGTGAATTGTGATGCGTTCACTGCCCTTAAGGAAAACTGTGTTCTTTCAAGGTTCCAGAAACACACACAACAACAACAACAACAACAAACGTGAATTCAAGTGAAGACAAATAATATAAATCAGGTATCACAATCAGAAACTCTCTCGTTGTTGATCAGCAGTGGTGGGGAAAGTATCCAGTACACAAACAGTGATATGTACTTATATGCCAGAGGGTTGATTATTGTTGATTTATTACATGAAAGCAGTGTTTTAATGCTGCAGCTGGTTTGAATGGAGGTCAAAATAATTATACATTAGGTCAGCTGTAATGATACTATGCTCTAGAGCCAAAAACATATTTTAAAATCACATATCAAAACCTTATTTTAAGTTAAAAAAATAGGTTTTTATTCTATTTATTTATCTGTACAGCAAAAAAAAGAAACTTTTCTCTTACAAAAACCTTATCTTACAAAACCACCACAGACTTTGTGTGGTAAATAACACTTAACACCAAGCAAACAGCAACTAAGATGCACACATTCACACAAAAGTAAACAAACATGTTTCACTTCCCACCACTGATGATAACACAGCACAGACATGTCCCACTGTACTTGAAAGCAGCCTCATTTAAAGCCTCTCTCCCACTGCGAGCACAGCTGACAAACAACACATAAACACACCTTTCCCCACATTAAACACACACACACACACACACACACACTTACCACAGACCAAGCAGGACAGGGACTGGCGGAAAAACGGCAGCAGCTTGCAGAGCTCCGCGAGGGCCCGGGGGTCTCGGGGGTCGCACTGCAGCACCGAACGGCTCGCGGACACGTAGAGAGAGGTCGCATTCACCGGGTTCATCTCAGCTGCCTGTCTCTCCACCGAGGGGGGTTAAGCTCCGTTAAGATGTATTAATAATAATAATAATAATAATAATATGTTTAGTTTAAAAAAAATAAAAATAAAAAATAAAAAAAGTCACACAAACAAAAACTGAGCAGCAACTCCCCCCCCCACTCCTCCTCCTCCTCCTCACCCACGCGAGGTAAAATCCGTGTTTTTATGAATGGAGTCTGGTGAGGAGCGTTAGATGGATGATAATAAAAGAGCCTCAGTAAATCCCATATATACGGTAGTCTGCGCAGGTTGCTCATCCCCAAAAAATCACATCCAATCCATCCTCAATGTGGAAGTCAACCCCCCCACCCCCCACCCCCACCCCCCACCCCCTCTTCCCTCCGTCGGTGCCCCCCTTTTTTTTTCTCCTGGTAACGTTACTCAGCTAGCTGGCGGCGGCTCCCGACATACTCAAACGGGGGGTGATTCGGTGGTGAAGTGCCCCGGTTTGCAATGCTTCCCCCGGTGATAAATCCATACCCCACATGCATGCTCGTCCCGGGGTTTCACGTCCATACCGGAGCGGGTGTCACACAATAATGCATTTATGAGCCCCCCCCCCTCTCTCTCTCCCCTCTGCAGGCTCGTTAAAGGAGGGTTGTTGTGTGTTATTGTTCGCCGGAGATTCAAAGGCGGCTCGAAAACAAAAACAGGCCGCCCGGCGTGAAAAAGCTCCTCTTTTTTTGGGGGGGGAACGGCGACAGGTTGCACGCCGATGTGAAGAGGAGTGCGTTAGGGAGAGGATGTGGGTAGTTAAATAAAAATGAGCTCCGAGATTTGATGCCTCTTGCTGGTGTGGAGAAAAATAAGCCAGCGGAAGCACCGGGCTCTGGTGACAGCGCTTAGCCGCCTGAGCTGCACCGGGAAGCCGGCTACAAAAGCAGGCCGCTCCCCCTCTTCTCGGGATTAGCGGGACTCTTTTCGTTCGCGCCGCTCGCCTCGACGGGAATACGGCGGGAAATCCGAGGGTTTATCCGAGAGTGTGTCCTCCTGCAGCTTTTGGTGGAGCCCCCGGAGTGCCAGCGGACACCCAAAGTGAATTAAATCCCTATTTGTGTACCTTTGCTATCGTTAGCCGCGGAGTAGTCCCATTACCTCCCGTCGCTTTCTCACACACAAACAAAGGGGGCGCTGTTGCTCAGATCTCGCGAGAACTCACGCAACGCGGTTAATTCGAAGAACCCATGACGTAGACTGATGACATTAATTAATAATTCATAGTTTTAAGTGTTTTTACACCAAATGTTAATATTCTATGCATTGTTATTATTTAAATTATTATTTTATTGGTGTTTCTGACATTTTATTTGATTAATCAGGAAATTTTAATGGAAATAAATATTAGTTGTGGCCCCGTGTGAAACTTTTTTGGATTAATGTTTAAATATGTAAGTAATGTTTGTAATAATAATAATAATGTAACTCCATATTTTTGTATTATTTTGTATAAACCAAATAAAGAGTAAACAAGCCTGGTGTTGTCAAATACTTTTATTAAAGTAGTACAGAATGTTATTTAAGTCATTGATTTTATAAAACAAAACATAAACAGTGTTGTCAAAAATAATTATAAGTGTATTTTCTTGACCTTGTTGCACTGTAACACAATAACTTCCCTTTTAGAAATACTAGTGCACTCTTCGGTCACAGCTTTTAATGGACTCACCAGAGATTACACCATACGGTTATTTCACAACCAGTGAAGTTCGTTCATGACCTCCAACAGTTGATTCAGTGAGAGTGCGGGGGCCATTTGTAGTCTACTTTCTAAATTTAACCAACAGGGGAGGTGTTGTTTTTCTTTGTGTGTGTGTGTTGGTAACAGCACCGGGTGTATTGATTAGATCAGTTAACAGTCAACTCACTCAACTGTGGTTGTTCTTGTTATTAATCTTATTTTTAACTTGTTTTAGTGTTCTTCTTTATTGCTACCTCCTATCTTCTGCTCTTATTTGATGTTTCCATGTTTCTATTTTGTTTGTACCTCTGCACCATTGCCATTATAAAATAACTCCTAAACAACAACAACAGAGAAATTATTTAAAAAAAGAAACAAATTGACCTCTTTGGTGAAAGCACACTGTATAAAAATGTCCACATATTAAGCTGATGGCGTGGAGGAAGGGTAACTCACAGCTGTTACAGTCAGATGTTACACACATGTTACTCACGGTTTCCTTTGGATTACGCACACAACTGAACAAATAGCACACTTAAGAGAGTTTAATGAAGCTTCAACTCTTAAATCATTACTGTATGTGTGTCACGTTGCTGCGCTCCCCTTTTTTACTCGTCATAAGTGTTTCAAATAAGATCGACGATGACTCTGTTCTGTTGAAGTGTTTCAGAAAGCCACAACAACAGTGGGGGGGCTTAAGTCTTTGGAAAGTTCTGTTTATCTGGAAAAAATAGCAACAAACTCCTTCGCCCACGCAAAGACAAGGCTATGTGGAAAGGTGACACAATAGTATGCTACAAACACATTGATAACATCTATTCCTCTTTTTTTTTGTTCTCGGTGTCGTGCAATTACTCTGGTCAGCAGCAGGGACTTTCCACTTTGAAAGTCATAAAATTAACTCACATTTTAAATTATATTGAATTACAATCAAGTGGAGTGGCAACGATTAGTCAGTCAATCAGCTGACACAACATTAATCAGCAACTATTCTAATAACCGATTAATTGTTAATTACCAAATATTCTCTGGTTTCAGCTTCTCAAACTTGAGGATTCGCAGCGTTTCTTTGTCATACGTGGACTTTAAGTTGAATATATTTAGATTCTGGACCGTTGGGCTGATTAATTAAGTGGCTTTTGATGATTTTACAACATTTATGTTCAATTAAAAATCTAATCAAAGCATGTGTTTAACGAGCGCTGTCCCCCTTTTGTCACTTTTCTTGCAGCCAACTTATTTAGTGAGTGTTGGTACAAAATGTGATGTAATACAACCAAAGCTGCTGCTGATTTTTAAAGCAACTGTTACAGCCAGCTCTATTTGACAGTGAAGGCCATGAGATGTGGAAAAAGCTAATAAGTAGACCTTTGAATAGCTTCAGTTTAAGTTTAAAGGCTCAGGAATGTAGTGTGAACATTTCGGATGCAGCCACATTCCAAGCATGTAAGTAATTCCTCTTTTAGGCGCTTCCACGGCGTCTCACGCCATTATGACTGTTTTTTAGAGGTTATTGTGGTAACAGTGGATGCTAACAATAGCTGGTCAGCCTATGAGGGTTATTCATAGTGTGTCCATGAGTTCGGGTGATTCCCCCTTTTTCTTGCTCACACAAAATACCGAGAAAGCAGGAGCTGGTCAGAAATACAGCTGAAATAATTAATGTAGTCAGATAGGGCCGATGAGGTCATTTAAAGAACTCATTAGACATATTATCTTTCAACATACTCAGCATAGCACACACAGGCATTACGCAGTAGTAGCTGTAGTATGATGAAATCTGTGTATTTATGATGAGTTATACTACTACTGTTTTTAGTCTGGATGCTTTTAGGTTTCGTTTTCACAGTTGGAAAGACGAACACACTTGAAGTTAAACTTCGTTGAAGGTCATTTTCTGCTGTTGTTCCCGGTAACTCTGTTTTATGAATGAATGTTAAACCTCGCAGTGAGTCTGACGAGGAGCCCTGATTTGTAAAGCATCACCGGATCCCTGTCAGGTGTCATGTGACATTTAAAGCTCTCCTCCTCACCTAAAAATATCTTCATAAGTCGGCTCTTAAATACCTTTTGTGATCTCAACATACACAACATATTTTTAGCCAAGCTAGCCAAGTTTTTTGCTTTGTTTTCCATAAATAAAATGTCCTTTACATGAAAGGTGCTTAAAATTGAATTTATCATTGTTATTATTCAGTTTCAATTAGTCACACAGCAGCCAACAGGTTGAACTGGGAAGCTCCCACTATACACAGTGGTTGTGAACAAGTAAGGTGAGAGAAAATCAGTCAACACTCGAAACAATCAATCAGTTAAAATCTTTTATAGCTCTCTGAAATCTTTTTCTGCTACTGATGACTCATGACTTGTTAATTTGTAGGAAAAATAAATCAGTGACTTCCCCATCTGACCTGTAAGGTTACAGGAACATACGAGTGTCAAACTGAGTTAAAGATTCTTTTCAATAAACAAATAAAATACGTTTTTCTTTACTCATGATTTGAGCATGAGCATCTCTACAGATAAGAAATGTTTGAAAGACTTAATCATCCTCTGTAAGTCAGAGAGCTACTGTCTGATTGTCACTCAAACATTTTCTTGCTACAAGCTTTTTGAACTCACTGCAGTCGTACTCGTTGGAACTAAGGAGCCCAAAACATGAAAAACAAGTACACAAAAATACTGAATGTGGAAAAAGGTAGCACGATATGGAGTCCGATACCGATAAGATAACCGATAATTTCACATTTTTGTATTCTAAAAAATATCTTGTCGTTTATGCACGCCTGAGGATAAGAAGGGCTAAGATGTAGTGAGCAAAGATGGATGATTTTAGTTTCGTGTTTAACCTCACAGACATTTTTAACCGTGAGAGGCAGCAGAACCAATCAGTACTGGCAGCTACGAGGATGGTGAGTGACGCGGCGAGAAGACACTGTTGAAGAGGTTAAGCCTGGATGTTGCTAGCATCGGTTATATCTGAACTGGAGAGTATTTCTTATTGAAAGAAGAGCAAAGAAAGACACTAATGGATGGAACTCGATGGAAAAGATGTCTGACTACATCATAAAGTTTGTGGTTCATCCAATCACCTGCTGAGCATTTTTCCAATCATTTTACAAATATTTTTCCAATTGTAATTGTGTTTTCTTCCTCTGAAACTGTGAAAAAGACGTACACAATGGCGAAGACATGTTTTATTCTCCACCCAGATGCAGCTGCACTTGTTAAGTAAATGAAAGCAAAGCTGGCTTTGTATTATCGGCTCAAAATTCCCCATTATCACTGATTATTCATAGGCCAGATATATTATTAGACAGCGTAGACAGAGGTGATATTAGTTGGCCATATATATATAATTATGTTGTTAAGTGATTGCAGTTCAGCTTCGATTCGAGCACTAGTGTAATGTGAATGTCCGGTAACAGTAAGCCTCAGTAATGGCAGCATCACCACTGACCAAGATGAGTCCTGCTACAGGAGCACCCGGAACCTGAACATATATGGACATGATGGTCAAACTCTTCTACCTTCTGTTGTGCGTGAGTCTCTGTCCCCGTCTTGTCATAACTACAGCATAATTATTTCCATCCTAGCAACATTGCTCATGACAACGATGGTTCCTCCTTTTGC